TTAGGCAACAGAGTGAGACTCTGTCTCAAAAAGGAAAACAAATTGCTATTTAATTAATGATCCCTTAAAACAGTGGTTCTCAACCTTCCTAATGCCACTGCCCTTTAATACAGTTCCTGTGGGTTGTGACCCACGGGTTGAGAACCGCTGCTTTTAAGGGTTAAAACCTAGACCAAGAGAGAGTGTAGATAATGACAGAAGTTCTTGGGGGAGGAAAGTTTGTGCATTATATCTCATAGCCCTGGCTGCTCTGAGGGCTATTCCAGCACTATATCTGTGATTTTCAGGGTTTGTAGGCTTTTCTTGGGCCCTGGGAAAAGAGGGCCCTCCTAAGTTGAGCGTTCACTGTCAGCTTATAAGCACAAGAGTGGAAATTCACTACTTCACTGGACATTGAGGGGACTCAGAAAAGTAGGGGATTGAGTGGAGGGGCTGGAAGGCTGAAAGGGTTCCTGAGGGATGGAGTTGTCCCTTGTCATGTGTTCAGATTCTTCTTGTCATTGTGATCAGAGCAGGAGAGACCTCCGGGGGAATCAACAGGCAAAGGGAGGGCACCGGTAAGCGAGAGAAGAAGATGGGTAATGAGCCTCCCATCACAAGGAGGTATGCAAAGAAGAGTTTTGCAATCACAAGTAGAGGAAGTGGTCAAGCTCAAGAATTTGAACTTTGCATATCAGCAACTTAGAAATGGGCTCTGATCTCAGCAGCCCAAAGCTCTCTCTGTCTGGGTCCTGGACCCACTTGACCATGCTTTGGCCACCCTTCCTTGCTTTGGGACCAAAGCCAGGCCTACAAGTCTCTAGAGACTGGGCAGGCTTCTACTGGCTTGGAATTTGGTTTGGGGTATGGCTTGAAATATCTGGACTGTTGGGAGCACTTGGACATTCTTTACTTGAAATGGAATGTTAGGGTAATTTGTTAAATATGTATGGAAAATGTCTGTGGCTGGGGGTGACAGGGGACATAAAATGGGGTGAGGCGCTACTGGATTCTGACTGGAGAGGCTTCTGGTCTGATGGGGGAGGGAAGACAGTGACCCAAGTGATGGCAGTGAGGCAGGATGTGATCAGTGATAGATGGGCTTTAGAAGGTCAGTGGAGGGAAGAGCTGTCTGGTTGTTAATGTCAGCAAGGCTTCCTGGAAAAGGAAGTGTTTGTGAGGATGGAGGCTATAGGGGGGAGCATTGGGAGATAAGATTGGGTTGTGGGAGCCTGCAGTGTCCTGCTCTGAAGTTTGGATTTTATTCTGTAGCTGATAGAGAGGACAGAGGGTTGTAAGTAGCTTGTTGACGTGATGCCTGTTACTGTGCCTTGTGTCAGGCACTGTGCCAGGCTCTTTACAGACACTCCATTGAAATCTCACAATACCCTGCAAAGTAGCTGTTGCTACTGCCGCTGTCACTGGTAACCTGTGCCCCATTTTCACATGGGGAAACAGAGGTTTAAAGGGTGGAGTCCCTTACAGAACTTGAATTTGAACCCAGGCCTGAACTGTTTTGGCCCTATTGTGTTGCTTCTCTCAGGGGGGATGTGGCCAAAGATGGTGGCAAGACTGGCTGGTTGAAACCAGCCCAGAAATGCTGCTTGTTATGGTCCAGCAGAGAGCTCATCAAAGTCTGACTCTGGCAGTGGGATTGAGATGCGAGGACAGGGAGGATGCAGGACTTTGTAACTGTCTTGGGGATTTGGGGTCATCACAGGTGGTCTGAGCTTTGGGGAAGGACACTCAAGGGGCAGTATGACTGCTTTCAAATCCCTGAAAAGCTCTCTCTGGGCAGAGGGCTTAGTCCAGACAGCAAGGATGATAGTTCCAGGGCAGCTAACGGGAAAGAGGTGAGGGCTGTGTTGCTAAAGATATGCAAAGAGATGGGAGAGCTACAGCAGGTGCAGGAGGATGCACCCGCACAGTTGGGCCTGGGTGACCTCTCTCAGTTCCCTTTTCAGCTGAGAATCTCAGCTTTTGGGTGGTGCCTGGCCTTTCATCCCCTGCTTTTCTCATAGCTTCAAGGCTGTCCTTCTTGCACATCTTGGGAAGTTACATGCCACCTGGCATGTAGATCTCTGTCAGAGAAAGTCCTTGTCCTGGGCAATACACTTGGCCCAGCTGACCTTTGAGGGGCCCTCCCTGGGGATGTCTGGAGTAGTGGCCAGAGCCTGGGCTGCTGGGAACTGTGGTTTCACAGAGAACTTGAACCTTCTGCTTCCATTTCTAGGTCTGTGAAATGGGGTCAGTCTCTCTTTCCTCAAGAGTGAGGAAATAAGGCTGAGTCATGAATCAGGCTGAATCAGTAGGGGATGGGGAAAAGGGCTGGTGGGTTGTGAATTTGAGAGTGAGGAGCAGGGCAGGGGTGGAAGTGGGATGACAAGGTTGTTCCTCTCCTTTCCCACAGCCGAGGTTAAAGGGGGTCTCTGAGAGTCACCAGCAAAGCTTTCTCTGCCTGTGGGGTTCTTATAAAGCTTTGCCTATCAGCTTCTGTTGTGGAGGTTTGGATCTCTTTGGAGCTCCTGGAAGGGTGGATGTTTTGGGGGCAGAGATCTTGTACCATGTGACCTCAGGGTTAGAGGCAGTCTGCCACCAAAGCTCTTATCTAGATGGAAGAGAGTTTGTGCTAAGTTGTTGCCTCCTGGCCCTTTTATTCCGTCACCCTTATTTCATGGATTATTCTAATTTAAAAATGTGTGTAGTAAATAAGATTTGCTTATTCGAGCAGGGGAGCTACCTGCTGTGTGACTGCAGTCCCCCAACTCCCATTCCCTCTTACCCCTCAAGAAGGACGGTCCTCTTTCCTCCTCCCTGGCTGTGTTCCTGACCCTTCCTGCCTCCACCTCTGTTCATGGTAGGGATGCTGTAACCCAGTCACTTCCCCTCATCCACCCCAAATCCTCCCCTGCCAGTGCCACCTCTTACGTGCAGCCATTCCTATTTCCCCTCCTTCACATGTGCAGACCTGTCATCTGGACCTCCCACAGAGCCTATCCACTTCTGGCTTTAAACTGTAGTTCCTTAAAAGCACATGCCCTCTCTTCTAGGCTTCATGCTCTGGCCACATGTAGCCCATTTTCAGTGGTGTGTGCAGCATTGCTGAGTGGAGTCAGGCGTCCTGGCAAATCCCAATTCTGCCACCGTTAGCTGTTTGATCCAGGGCACACACCTAAATCTCTCTGAACATTAGTTTTTCAACAGCACGATGGGTGTAATGACAGTTCTGCTTTGGCAGGAAGATTGAGTAAGTGCTTAACATAGTGAGGGCCCAGTAAATAGAAGCTGTTTAAAGATAACAATGGTTATGAATATTGTTTATAGCCAGGAGGAGATCTGTCCTTTTAGAGGTGGAGGGAAGAATCCCCAGAATTTGTTTTTGAACTTTCTGCCTGCTGACCTGAGATGACTTGTACACTTGAGGAAACTGAGGCCTGGAAAGAGAGGGCAATTTGCATGCTGTGCGGGAGTTGCTGGTCTCATCTAGGAAGCCTGACAGGATTTCCTCTTGTTACACCTCTGTTTCTCCTTGTTCTTCTTTTCTCTCCTGTCATTAAGTTTCACAGGCTCAGTCTCCTCCCTGGTCATGTGTGCAGGTATCCAACGCATGGGCCACCTAAGTTGGGCTGGCTGGAAGGCCTCTCTGAGTGACCCTGAAGCGGCCCTCGTAGCCAGGGACCCAAACCCTAGACTGCATGTGCTCCCCGCAGCCTCCTTGGTCCCTGAGATGGGGGAGAGGATGGCGGTAGGGCTCAGTCTTGGAGCAGGTATCTAGGAGGTCCAGACAGATCAAAAGTTAAGAGTTAAGCTCTGACCCATGTGGTCTGGGATCAAATCCCTGCTGGGTGACTTCCTGCTTGTGGGAACTCTGGCCAGCTGTTTAGTTCTTCATCAGTATAAAGGGAATAATAATTGTCCTCATCTCACAAGATTTAAAAGGATAATGCAGGGAAGATGCTTAACTATGAGCCCAGTTCATCTTAGTTATGGTTATTACTGTAGTCATTATTATTATTGACTAAGGAGCTCATTTAATCTCCCAGCAGCAGGGGGAGATAGGCACTCTGATCATTCCTTTTTAGCAGATGTGGCAACCAAGGCTTAGGGACATGGGTGGTTTAGCCTGGAGAAGTTTGAACTCAGGGAATTACAGTCAAGGTCTACGGCTTTCTGAGGGACTCCTCTGGCCAGAAGTGGCCTTGTTCTATGAGGCACTGGAAGGTAAATCCAGTGGGTAGATGGCCAGGGGAGACTAACTTCAACTCACTGTAATGAGGAAACTTAGAGAAAAATCAGAGTAAGCAAGCTGGTGGGGTTGTGTTTAGCAGAGAGCGAGCTCCCTGTTTCTGGAGGTGGGAACAGAATGCTGGAGCTCACGTGATTAAGATGTGGTATGGATTCTGGCTTCGTTCAGACCTGAGGTCTGTCTCTGTAAGGGAGGGCTTGGATCCTCATTTTCCACAGGCTGGCTACAGATTGGCTTGCCTGGGCAGGTGCTGGGCTGGTGTTAGGTTCACTGTAGTCATTGCTCAGTGGCAGCCACCTCTGGCTTACACCACCAGCCTTGCAAATGCTACCTGCCCAGGCAGAGGCCAGGTGAGGAGAAATGAAAGTCATCATGGCAGGGCCTTTACTCATGCTGTGCCCTCTCCCTGTCTTGCTCCTGGCAACTCCTGCTGATGCTTTTATAGGAGTATAACAATCTCATGATACAGTGATAGGGTACATGATTTTAGGAGATGTTGCTGGGGCAACTTGAGGAAGGCAGGATTGGGGATCTGGAAAAGTGGGAGAAATTTTATGGGTGGGTAAGAATGGTTTCCAGGAACATATGACCTGTGTTCTGGGGCTGGGGTCAGAGACTGTGGACCTTGCCTTAAAGAGTGGGGTATTGGGGGGCGTGTGTGCCAGTGCACACATGCGTGAGTACACTGGCCAGGTGTGGTCTGCGAGGGCTGAGGGGCCTTAGTTGTCACCAATCCAGTAGTTTCTTCTTTTTCTTTGTTTTCTTCCCCCTTTCCACTTGTTGCAGAGTGTCTTCTGGTCTCCAGCTACTGATCAAGCTGGGATGGAATGGTCCTTCTGCCAGGCTTCCTTTCCCTCCTGTTTTCAAAGCTGGTAAAACACTAGCCACTCTCCAGACGTAATCCTAGGAGGTTGAGTAGTTTTAAGTATCTCAATAATTTTTTTTTTTTTTTTTGCAGTTTTTTGGCCAGGGCTGGGTTTGAACCTACCACCTTCAGCATACAGGGCCGATGCCCTGCTCCTTTGAGCCACAGGCGCCACCCAGTATCTCAATAATTTTAATGATGATAATTATACTCACTGCTCCCATTTATTGATAACATATAAATGCTTACTGCGCACTTTCATGTCACCTTGTCTGGAATAATCCCCACAGCAATTCTTCTATAAGGTAGGCATCTATTTTATAGTTGAAAATACCAAGGCCATACAGCTATAAGGTGGTAGATCTTACTTTACAGGGGTACTTAGAACCATGATCTGATTGAAAGAATGGCAGAGGGTGATTGTCATAGAGTGTGGATCAGGCACAACTTACATGGGTTTTCTAGAGATGTTCCCCAAATATATAGTCTATCAAATGAGTGAATAGGCTTTGGGGGGCTGATGGGATTGTTTAGGGGTGGTTAGGCCTCCAGCCTCCAAGTTGGTGCTTCCACTGCAGGTATTATTATTTTTCAGGTTCAGATGGGCCATCCGAGGCTCAAAGAGATTCAGTGGCAATATAAAGATTGAATAGCTGGGGTGAAAGATCAAATCAGAGAGAGGAAAGCACATCTCCTTTGGTTCTAGCAGGAAAGGGTGTGAGGTTCAAGATCAGAGCCCAGGCTCGGTGCCTGTGGCTCAAGTGGCTAAGGTGCCAGCCACATACACCTAAGGTGGCGGGTTTGAATCCAGCCTGGGTCCGCCAAACAACAATGGCGGCTGCAACCAAAAAAATAGCTGGGCGTTGTGGCGGGTGCCTGTGGTCCCAGCTACTTGGGAGGCTGAGGCAGGAGACTCGCTTGAGCCCAGGAGTTGGAGGTTGCTGTGAGCTGTGAGGCCATAGCATTCTACCCAGGGTAACAGCTTGAGGCTCTGTCTCAAAAAAAAAAAAAAGTCAGAGCCCAAAGTCCACTCTTCTGTTCTTTCCTGCCTTAGTATCCCCAAGCTGCTACCCAGGAGGCCAAGGGCCTCTCTGACACAGTGTGGGAATCTCTTCATTTCCCAGTTAGGGCACCGCCCCAGAGAGGAGCAGGGATGTGACCATAGGCACAGATTGTCAGAGTTACATTGAGACCAGAACCCAGAATTGTGTCTATTCAGACCAGGGAAGGATTTGTTTCCCCCAAACTATTCTGCCCCACCTCATGTTTGGCAGACTGGGTAGCTGCAGCCATCAGGGTGGCCCAAAGCAGTGCTGGGGGCAGAGATGGTGGGGCTGCCCTGGGTGAAGGCTGCCAAGAAGGGGTGGGGCAGCTTCAAGAGGAAGAACTTCAAGAAGCCCAGACCCCAGGCGGAAACCAAATGTATTTTTTAGGTCCTAAGAGGATATTTGGAACAATGGAAGTGGGATGGGGGAAGTTGGACTATAAAAAGGGCTTCTTGATATCTTTAAAAAGAACCAGAGGTTTTAGATTTGACTTTTGTTTCTCCGAAGGATGTTTATGTAACTTCCTGAAAGCAGGATCCCAGAGCTCTGTGAGATTTGTCAGGTACTGTTGTTTATAGACTCCGGTCTTTGGAGCTGGGTAGTATAGTTGGTGAAGTGGAGGCTGCGAGGTGAGAAGGGCCTGGTTGAGCTTGCACAGGCAGCAGGGGGCCTAGGTCTTGCCATGCCTTGCAAGGGGCTGTTCAACTTGACTTAGCACTCCCTAGAGCCCCCACTGGCATGGAGGCTGGCCAGGGGCTATGGAGGGATCCTCCTTGGAAACGCTTGCTGCTTCTGAGGTTGGGGCAAGGCCAGGTCTGGTCTCCAGCAAGGTAGGCTCACTGGTGGGGAGAAGGCCCAGATGGTGTGCTTGGTGATGCCACCCCCATCCAGATGCGGGGCCCAGCTGTGCATTGTCTGTCTAGCAGCTGGGAGCTGTGAGTCACACCCAGTGGGTACAGAGGTGCAGGCCGCTGTGTGTTGTGATTCATTCTGTTCTCCCAGCCCTGAGGGATGACTAGGCCCTGAGTCTCAATTCATGCCCACGCCTGTGGATGAAGGCTGTTATGGGTTTGGGCTCTAAGTTTTCAGAAATGTGGGGGCCCCAGAGGGCCCGAGGAAGTCTTCTCCCTCTACCACCACCTGTCTCTTATAATCTTGACCCGTTTATTCCCACGAGTGTGGGGGTCCCTGAGCCTGAAGTCAGGTGCAACATTTAATAGGCATTTCTGTGCTTGCTTTTTCTGAAGAAAGAGTCCTTTGATTGCATCAGGTTGTCAGAAGACTGGTGTCCCTGTGAATGCTGACAGGTGGCTGTATGTGCTGCAGGCTGGAGAGAATGTGGAAACAAAGTAGCCTGGTGGCAGTGTAGCAGTGATGTGGTGTCAGAGACCTCCACTTAGGAGCTGTGTGACCTTGAGTAAGTTATTTGCCTGTGCTTCAGTTCCTCATTTATAAAATGGGAATCATGTTTATTTTATGGGATTATAATTAGACTTTTAGATAAGATGATGCATGTAAGTAACTTCTCTTGTACCTGGCACAAAGTAATCTCTCAGTAAAAGTTTGCTATTATTATTAGTTCTACTACTGCTGCTCATTTGCTTTGTATATATTCTGTAAGTGCCTTATTGTGGAGTATTTGTTCCTACCCCTGGATCTGCACTCTGTGTTGGGCTTCCCAGGAGCTGTGGGACAAGGTTGGAGAGCAGGGTACACAGGGGAGGGAGGGAAACCCTTTCTGCATTCTGGGACTCCCTAGCCCAGGCCCTCCCTAGCTTTGTCCTGAGGCAGGGTTATGTAACCAGCAGGCCTGGCCAGGCAGGATTTTCAGCCTCCTTTGTCCCTCCATTGTCTCTTCCTCTCCCTCTCCCCCTTGGAGTGGTTAGCTGACCCATTCCTCAAGCCCCAGGGATGAAATCGGACCTGAGCTATTCTGCCAGTACGGATTGATTTAGTCTGAGGTTTGCTGGGCTGGCAGCCCCTCCTCCTGCACCCTGGAGACACAACAGAGCTGATACCTTTGGTGCCTCCTTTTTGGGGTAGGGGGGGAAAGCAGGCCATCTAGCAGGCTTGGGAGGACCAGGAAGCTCCAACCCATGAGCCCTGTAGGTACAGCCCATTCCCTACCCAGGATTCCCTTCCTGGAAAAGCAGCTCAGCTTCAATGCCTCCTCTCCCAAGAAGTCTTTCCTAAAACCTCAGCTGCAAGGAACTGGCCCCTACTGAGCTCCACGGTGTGTTCTCTGTTCCTTTTAAGAAAACAAGAGGTCACAAACTGGCAGGCCACCATCTGCCCTATGGGCAGATTTTGTTTGGCCCATGCCAGATATTGAGCTGGTTGCCAATGGGAGGTTTTACATAAAAATCCAGACTTCAGGCTTTACTTTAAAAGTTGGAAGCTAGGAAATTCTTAAGCCCATACTCTCAAGTGACCGCTGCTGGCGATGAGGCACGTATGCTCCACTTTGCTCTGTCCCCAGCCAGCTACTTCATATACTTAGATGTTTTTTCAGGTCCTTGGAGGCATCTAAGTTTGCAGCTCTGTCCTTTAAGGTATGCACGACTTTCTCTGTTGTGTTGTTTCTTTGTGGGGAGTGGAGGCTGACTCACCTCTGTGTCCCTGAAAGCCTTGTGTATAGGCACAGGGCTCTGTACTGAGCAGGAGCATAATAAATGCTTCCTATGTGAAGGAAGGAATGGCAGCAGTCTGTCCCTGCCAGCTGTGAAGTTTCCATTTACTAGAGGACTCTGGATCAGCCTGCCCTGTGTCCCTGGAATCCTCCCCCCCCGATAAGCTCTGGCTGCTTAGCCACTGACCCAGGCAGCTTCTTAAGCTGCGGATAAAACAGTGCCTGAAAGTGTCGCATCCGTGCTGCAGTGTAACCAAAGGAGAGGATCATTTCACCTGCAGCTGTCTCCAGGTTTTACTCTTCTAGGGGGCTTGCAGGAGTTTGGGGGAAGGGAGGACTGGACTTGGTAGCCTTCAGAGGTTATTGGGTCCAGACCTTTGTGTCCTGGGGCAGAGGCCAAAGGGGTATGGATCAGTTCAGATGTTCATTAATCATAGGCCTTGCTTTTCTTTTCTTTCTTTTTTTTGAGACAAAGTCTCACTCTGTCACCCTAGGTAGGGTGCTATGGACTCATTGTAGCTCACAGCAACCTTGAACTTTTGGGTTCAAGCAATTCTCTTGCCTCAGCCTCCTGAGTAGCTGGAACTATAGGTGCCCACCATGATGCCTGGCCAGTCTTTCTGTTAGTAGAGACAGGGTCTCACTTTTGCTCAGGCTAGTCTCCAACTCCTGAACTCAAGTGATCCACTTGGCTCTGCCTCTCAGAGTGCTGGGACTACAGGTGTGAGCCACTAAGCCACCATTTGCCTTTCTTGATCCTCCTTCCAGAGTATGTTACTTTATCCATCAGCTCCTTTGTCTAGCTGTCTGACCATTCAACGTTTGTTTGACTCTTTTAAATGAAATCTTAACTATCCCTTGGGACCCGCTAAGATGTTCCTCCTAGAGATCTTAGCCAGGAGGTTACAATGGTTCTGGGTGTAAGAAAAACTCAGGAAGCTTGCAAAAAATAAATGCAGATTTTTAACTTGTTCCTCCCCTTCCCATTCCTTATTCCTTCAGTCAAGGCTTCAGGGGTGTCCAACCTTTTTTTTTTTCTGCTGTACATTAGAAGAAGAAGAGTTGTCTTTGGGCCACACGTTAAAAACACAAACACTAACAAATGATGATGAGCAACAAAAAGGTCCGTGTGTAATTTTGGCCATATCTGGACACCATAGATAAGCAAAATAGGCCTCAAGTAATCTGCATGCAGCCTATGGACTGCAGGTTGGACACCCTGATCTAGGGTCTTCCCTTCCCTTCCCTAGAAGATTCAGATCTGGAGGGCTGTAGATCATGCCTTGAGGACCCTGTCTTAGTGCACAGAGCCCGTGGCTGGTCGGGAGAACCTGGGTGGCCACGTGTTGGGTGACATCAACATGCCCCTTCTC